TTGAGGCGCAGCAGGGAACAGGATGTGTTGACGCAGCCACGACGTGCATGGAGTGTCACGATGGCACAGTCGGCTGTGGCTGGTGGAATATTTACTTCTCGGAGGCAACAGAGAGAGGGTGAGAGAGCTGCTCCTGCTGCTGCTGGCGTCTTTGCTGCCTTTTGTTGCCTCCCATGCCGATTATTGTCTGTCCGCTGATCATGGGTGGTGTGCCTCCACTAGTGACGTCGTCTGCAGGCATTTCACAGCACCAGTGAAACACACATCACGTCGCATGCTTTGGCTGTGGATATGGTGTCGTGAATGCAGCCGGCATTATTTTGCCCGACTCCTTTTCACTGCTTTGCGACAAATAGATGCGTCCCCGCCCGAGTCATTCACTGCAGCACCCTGTGTTGTACTGCCAGCACAAGACTCTCCTCTTGTTGTATGACGCCTGGCTGACAGTCCAACACCACTGCGTTGGGACATGCAAGGATGTGGACTGCCGCTCACGGTGTTGGGCACCGCTGTTTGGATGCGGCGGCCACACGAGCGGATGTATTGTGGCACAATCAAATGCGTGAAATACGCGGAATCACAGCGGCTGCAATAATATCAGCGGTGTGGCACCACGGAATGTGTGTGAGGGAGTGATGCATGATGAATCACAGTGGGCGGCATGCGAGGGAAGTGCACCGCGACGGAGCGTCACCCCGCCCTCAGCCTGCAGGGGAATGTACGCCCACAAAATATATGGACGAGACACCACCAAACACACATGCCCTTCCATGCAGCAATAAATAGGAGCGAAGGTGCGTTCTGGTGTGTGGGAGTCCACTCACATATTTTCATTCCCACCGCAATAAACGGTGAGGAATCAGGTGCCACAGCAACGAAAGGAAAACAAAAGCATCTATTGCAGCACTTTACCAGCGAAAGGCAGGAACAACAGAAACCGAATTGTTGGTTGCACCAACACAAGAAACATTCACAAGGGGAAAGAAAAATTGTGCACCCTGCAGGAATCCCCAACACACGACCCAGGCATGAAGGTTTGCCCTCCGCAAAAACAAAAAAACATATGCGGACATCTGCCAACATTAAACAGAAACACAAATAAATGGTTGCTTGCTTTATTCCATTCCTTGCGAGCATTTTTAGTTGTGCTGCTGCTGCTGCTGCGGTGGTGGCCGGGCCTGCATGAAGTGGTGTGCGTTGGATATGAACGAAGGCCAAACACAACTGAATTATTTTGTGATGAATATTGGCTGCACTTCCCGTGGACCAACAATCCACGTGGTGTGCGGGGATCTCCTTTTTTATTGTTACTTTGCTTTTGTGCTGCTGTGGGCGCTGCACCTCCTCTTGTGTGTGTGCGTACCCTCCGTGAGGAGTGCCGACACGACGGACCGCTCTCGCCGTATGTGCATGCGGTGGAGACTTGTGTGCCGCTCCTGTTTGCTTCTCCCTCTTCCATCTGTGTGTTGTTGTTGCGGCAGGGCTGTGTGTGTGTGTGTGCCTGCTGCCGTGGATTGGAGTGTGTTTCGTGCGTGGTGTGCGGCGTACGGT